TTTTAGTTTGTTTGCCAAAGCATAATGACCCAAAACACAACTTTAAAGACCTTTTATGTTAGAATTTAAATGCATAAAAAAAATTACACTTTTTGCCCGGAAGACCTATCGTTTCATTTCATCGTGACCACCGATAATATACAATACATCCGTATTGATCACGTGCATTTTCTGGGTAAGGTTTGTGCAGTGAATGTCACAGAGTCCCAGCCACAGGCGTTTGTTCCTGCGTTAATCACCGATTAACAGAAGCCGCTAGAAAAGGCTGAGATCTGGTCTCTGATCCGGCACGACTGCGTTAACTGTGACCACGGGGAGCAGATTAGACGGCTTATGGTGACTGAAAGCGTTTGTGTGTTTGTGAGGAGATGGAAAGCGTCCAGAGGTCACGCTGAAAGAGCTCCACCATCTGCTCATCTCGTTCCTCTCAGTTCTTTCCCGTTTTAGCAGCTCTGGTGAAGTAATGAACGAGTCCGTCTGTCAAAACACACCCCACGCTTCTCTTCATCTGCAGCGGTTTGTTCTTGTTTCTGGCCTACTTTAAGAGTTCAGTCCGTATCAGATTGTCCATGCAGTTAATTAGCTGCGTGTTAATTGGGATTTCAGAGATTGGCTATTTACAAACAAAAGTGCAAACTGTTTAATGTGCCACCCAACACTGTCAGCCTTTGAAGCCTTTGTTTTTATGTATTTTGTACATATTGTTTTTATGAGTGTATGATTGTTCAGAGAGCAAATAACTCTTGATATTTCAATGTAAGTTATTGTTGTTTAAGATCCAATTTAGCATATCTAGGGTTCTTGACTTTATGGTTATTTGCCTTTGTTGGTTCTTCAGGTCTGTATATTGATTTCTGGGCCTAAAAATACCAGTATGTCGATGTTTTTTTTCTAAATAATAATTAATAAAAATGTATTGTAAAACCTAAAAAGTTTCTCCTATGGAATTAAACATGCTTTTGGTTGTTCTTTTTGATCAAGTTTTTGGCTCTCTAAGGTTCAGCATATCGGCTTCTGGTGAACTGTTCACAGATGGTTTCTGAAGAACTCAAGAATAAAAATTGCTCAAAAAGTTCTTCTACTCTCTTAAAAGTAAAGGTTCCAAAAGGGTGTTGTTTACACTGTGATGCCATAGAAAAACCATTTTGGGTTCCCCAAAGAACTTTTCAGTGAACTGGTCTTAAAAGAACCATTATTTTCTTGATGTGAAGAACATTTTCATAATCTAAAGAACCTTTTTTCCACTATAAAGAACCTTTTGTGCATTGGAAAAGTTCCATTGATGTTATCAGTTCTTCATGGAACCATCAATGACAATAAATTACCTTTATTTTCAAGAGTTTCGAGTAGTAATATGCACCTTTTGGGGCATGAATAGCATGCAAAGATGTCCCTTTGAAGATACTGCCCTAGTGATTAAGCTGTTGTACACCTAAAAGTAATTTTTTTGCATATTTTCTAAGAGTGAACACAGGAAGTCATTTCTTGGGTCTCTAATAAGTGATGATTTGTCAGACCAACTGGTTCATAGTATTTTCATAGATTGGCCACTCGAAATTTCAAACGTGTTCCTTTCTACCATCTCATTTTGATGGATTTTTTTTTTCTTGAAAAAACCATACTGATATTTGTAAACATAACCATAACTATAACGATAACTGTAGTGATAACTGTAACTACAAAAACATAACTATGAATACAACCATAACTATACCGATATTTGTAAACATAACAATAACCATAAATATAACACAACTATAACGATAACTATGAATATAATTATATACCGATAACTATAGATATAGCCATAACTATACTGATCATTTAAAAAACAACTGTAAATACAACTATTTCAATAAATATAACATCTATATAATAACTATAACTATGAATACAACCATATCTCTAACGATAACTGTAACTACAATCATAACTATGAGTATAAAATAACTATAATGATAACTATGAATACAACTATAACTATACAGATAACTATAAATACAAGCATAAATAATATAAAATAACTATACTGATAACTATAAATATAACTATAAAATGACTATAATGATTGCTATGAATACAACCATAACTATACTGATAACTATAAATGCAAGCATAACTAATAATATAAAATAACTATACCGATAACTGTAAATACAACCATAAATATAACTGTATTAAATATTTTCATAGATTGGCCACTCTCGAAATGCTGAAACCCAAGCACTTTGTATGCTTTCGCCGTAAATTTCAAACAGGTTCCTTTCTACCATCTCGTTTTGATAGATTTTTTCTCTCTTAAGTCAGATTCCCCCAGTCCATGTGAGTGTTTCTGGAGCTTCATTGTGTTTGGTGACCCCGGTGGGCTCAGCGGGCCTCTCCACCTCTCCTCTTCCCTTCATTTTAAACACTCAATTTATTTCCTTTATGAGATGGATCTTGTAGATTGAATCATTTTCACAGTTGGAGGCTCATTGTGGGCCTGGAATGAAATGAAGTCCCAAATCAATCCCGAACGGGAACAACGCTAGCTTGGCATCGCGTGACGGAGGAGATGCTCTAAACGACTGCTGGGACTCAAAGCCAATTGGATTGTGTTTTTCTGGTTGAGATCCTTTCGATTGTCCGCCGTGGAGTGATTTTGATTGACTGTGGCGTAATCGGCCTTAATTTCAGCACTTTTATTTTCATGTCAGAAATTCCATAAAGGTGTCATTCCGGCCGTATTTTCCGCCAGTAGATTTACTGCTCAGAAATGGAGCACCTTTTTCCTGCTTCCTTGTGTTGTGGGAAGCTAAACAGCCATGAAATTGCCTGAATAATGATGTTTAAATCCAATCTCAGTTAGTCGTCACAGCTTTCCCATACACTTCTGACTGTAGGTCCCGTTTTCATTTGAAAGCTACTGCATATGTAGACATCTCAAAATTGGCTGCCAGTGATATTGGCTTGCATTTATTGTGGCGATAAGATGGGAATCCTGTCGTTATTATAGTCCAGGGATCTTTTTGAGATGCATTCGAGCAGCACACAGATGCACAAACACACATAAAGCCGTGTTTCAAATTTGCTGCTTGTATTGCATCGTTTCTAATGTTAATTTTGCATGTAGCTCCACCCGAACCCAAGCCCCTTTTGAGTGGATTGCACATCCAAACGCCATGAAATGAATTTCACTCATGCCACTGAAACAAATTAGCTCTCTTTCCATCCCCCTCCTCATCTATTTTTTCCCTCTGGATTCCCCAAGGTAATCCAATTTTGTCCTGAAGAAAGACCAAATTAATTTCATAATGCACTGATCAAACATTGCCCGAGGTGTCTCCCTCCACAAAATGAGTTTTTAGAGAGATGCAGATGTCTGAGGATGAACAACCAGCCGAGGAAATAAGGAGACGGAAAGCGACACAGATGCTCCAATATCTTCATTTTTATTGGACGATTTTTCTTGTGCGACGTCTGATCATTTTTAACTCATCCAGCATTCATCACTCTTCCATATTTATTGCCAAACACCTCCGGCACGAGGCTCTCAGTCGGACAGCACGGTTTCAAATTGGAAACATTGTTTTCTGCAGAGAGTTTTTGGGATACTAGTCATGATCCGCTGATGGTGTTTGCTTGGTGAAATGCCAGCATACATGGCTTTGTGTGCACTGAGAATCAGGGCCGTAACAACCGTAGACAATTCCCCCCAATAATTAGGAATTGGCAAATTGTCCTCCCAATATTTCTGCTGCACTCTTATGCAGCGTTGTTTGTTGTTAGGATGACAAAAAGTTTTTAAAAGATTTTTAGAACTTGTCAATAGGGATGTAACAATGCACCACGAGCCGGTTGAAAATCGATACAAATATGTGACGATTCAAATCGGTTGAAATGAATCAATTGGTGATAGGAGTTTATATTAATGTATCTCAGAGGGGAAGTGACTATTTAGAAAAGCTTAGATTTTAAGGAAACACTGTATAGCTGCTGTTCCACAAGCGCCACCTGCTGGCAGAGAATGAATCTGTGTGAATCTCATTCAGCTTTTCTGATGTTTTTGTTTCATTTAGATATGTTTTATGTAGTATAGTTTCACAACACTAAAGTCAGACCGTTTTGTTTTTGCCTCAAATTTCAGAATTATACAATCTAATTCAGATTAGAATCTGCTCATGCAGCATGTGTGCAGCATCTTTGTGTGGATCATGATTAACATGCAGTGGTTGCCTCTAATTTTAAATGGAAAGAGCACAGACAATGCCTTAGTTTGTTTATATGAACAGATTTTATTTGTGTTATTTATTTGATTTGGGGTTTGTTTTAAAATTTAAGTTTAGTTTTGTTATTTAACATATTTCAATCTCACAAAGAAATGTTCAGCATTTTGTCCAAGCAATAATAAAAGGAGAACTTTTCATTTATAATATCTTAAATCTCATTTTGTAAAAAAAAATAGAGAAATTCGTATCGTGAAATAGTATTGTGTATCGCATCGTGAGTTGAGTGAATCGTTACTTGCCTATTTGTCAGTGTCAAAATGATTGAGATGGCCAATCAAATTAAAGTAGGCGGGGTTTACTGTTCACAAACGCAGTGTGAATTAAAGCTCAAGCATCAGTTTTAATGTTGAAAGAGAAACTGAAACGGTTTCACTACAGAAATGTTAAAATATACTTTCCAATGATGTAAATTACTCTACTTTTCCCTTTAAATTTCTCCATTATTAATTGAAAATGCATCATTTACATGATTCATGTAATTCCTATCTGAATGTTACAAGACATTAAATGTTTGGCATTTTTGACATATTAGGCACACAATTAAGAGTGAATGTGTACATACTTTAAAATATTTGCTAATTGCTGCAACTACAACTAGACGCAGTTTTTCTTTCACCGTTATATTTCTTTACACCTTATTTAAAATACCCCCCCAATGTTCAAGACATGCTACGGTCTTGCTGAGAATAAAGCAGCGTTGAATTATTCATGCTGTTTTCTCTTTGTCCGCAGGTGAGCTGACTTCTATGCGCTACCCATCCGCGGCCGAACTGGACGCCTACGCACAAAGAACAGTCGACAGCCCGCTTTCAATCCAGATCTTCCCCACCAACATCAGGGTCCCACAGCACAAACAAATCAGTAGGACCGTCAACGGCCTGGACACTGGCGACCAGGGCTTGGGCCCGTACTCGCACCCCTACGCTGGTGCCTACCAAGGCTTGCTGGCGATCGTCAAGACTTCCTCCGCGGCCAAAGGCGTGCTAAAGAGTGCCGATGGAAAACAAACCAAACTATCCCCTATCCAAATGGCGGTGGCTCCGTATGCGCCTCCCAGTGGGAACAGACACCGGCCGTACGGCGTCGTGTCCCATCACATGAGCCGTCCGTCCAACGTCCAGTCCAGTCCTTCGTACTTGTCCGCGTCTTGCGCCGACTCCAGTTTTGCTCTGCCGTACTCCGGAGCCGTTCTGCCCACTCAAAGCGCGGATGTAGCTGGTTCCGAATATTATTGGGCACATTATCCGCACATGTATGGATCGGGAAACCGCTCGCCTGACGTTTCCTACCGATCCTACCCTCCCAGTCTAACGATTCTAGACAAGGTCCCGACGTCCCCTGCGATGCACGGTGATTTCTCTGTTGGCCAGTTTTTCATTCCTGCTTGGAATAGCGTGCTTGCTACGCCGGATAGCGACTGTTATAACCCTCAGGAGACGCCTGCAACGCGCCTCCATCCGTGCGCCCACCAGCCTCCTGCGTACCTGTGCTGCGGGCCGCAAGAGGAGAGCCTCAGCAGCAGCCTGCAGTCTCTGGAGTGCCTCATCGGCGAGATCCACCCGCCTTGCATCAAGGAGCACATGCTGGGATGAGGATACGAGCCGCACATTCAGCTGCCCGTGTTGAGATAGGACGCTTCACTGCAAAACATTATTCTCTTACTTAGTATTTTTGTCTTGTTTACAAGTATAAATATCTAAAAATTCTTGAATCAAGATGCATTTACAGTACAAGTAAAATGACGTAAGATATTATGTCTCGTTTTCTGTATTAAAAAATATCCAAATCTTGTTTAGCCTTTGAATTAAGATAATTTTTCTTACCCCATTGGCAGATATTTGTGCTTGTTTTAAGCAAAAACTAACAAAAATGTTATTTTATTTTTTAGAAAACAAGATTTAATATATTAAGTCCTTTTACTTGTACAGTAAATGCATCTTGATTCAAGAATTTTTAGATATTTATACTAGAAAACAAGACAAAAATTCTAAGAAAATACTTTTTTGCAGTGTTGTGAGATAGGATGAGTGTAAAGGTCATTGCACACAGAGTTCGTTTTTTTTCGTATTTGTCATCCTTTCCTATCAAAATGCTTGCTACGGATGCGAAAACGCAGAAAATCAAACCTGGTCCGAATTTTTTAATGACGGATGAAAGTCTCGGAGGCAGTGTGTAAACGTGAATGACACCGTGAGGTCGTATTTTTTTTTTTTTTATGTGCAAAAATTTACTGTGTTCATTTAATGTACTGTGTTCATCAAGCTAGGGTCACTTTTCAGAAATGGTTTGAAGAGTTCGAGAGCTTTTCTAAGGCCTTTTTCACACATCAGCTCACAAAATAAATAAAAAATTCCTATCATACTCTGCCTTTCAAAAGTTTGGGGTTGTAATGTTTATGAAAGAAGTCCCTTCTGCTCACCAAAGCGGTTTATTTGATCAAAAATACAGTAAAAATCTGAAATATTATTATAATGTAAAAGCTGTTTTATATGTGAATCTCTGTTAAACTGTAATGTATTTCTGTGATGCGCAGCTGTATTTTCAGCATCATTACTCCAGTCTTCAGTGTCACATGATCTTCAGAAATCAGTATAATATGCTGATCTGCTGCTCGAGAAACATTTCTGATTATTATCAATGCTGAACACAGTCGTGCTGCACAATATTTTTGTGGAAACTGTGATACATTTTATTTTTCAGGATTCACAGATGAATAGAAAGTTCAAAAGAACAGCATTTATTCGAAATAGAAATCTTTTGTAACATTATAAATGTCTTTACTGTCACTTTTGATTCATTTAATGCAGCTTTGATGAGTAAGTCATAATTTCTTTCCGAACTATTTTTTTTACCCCAAACTATTGATAAAAAATCGAATTATTAAAAACTGTCCTCATTGTGTTCAAAAGCCAAACCCCAAAACATAAAATGTTTTTTAGCAAACCATGTTAATGTTACTTTTTTAAAGGATGCATTGCAAAAAGATTGTAATAAATATTTATAGTTCATTCTCACTGTATTTTGCTATTATTTTCACTCTTTCCTGCTGATACCAGTCACTGTTCACTGTGAAAACAGCCTCGGTTGTGAAACTCTGATCTTGTAAGCTGTTTGCAGCAGAAATTACCCTGAACCGCTCACATGTGATGTGTGAAACAGGCCTGGATCTCTCTTCAGACCATTGTGCTGAAGGTGATTTGGAAGCGCAGGTGATTCAGTTGCAAAAGATTCAGAAGCGCAGGGGATTCAGAAGCACAGGTGATTCGCAAGCGCAGGTGATTCAGTTGCAAAAGATTCAGAAGCACAGGTGATTCAGTAGCGCAGGTGACTCGGAAGCGCAGGTAATTCGCAAGCGCAGGTGATTCAGAAGCGCCAGTGATTCACAAGCACAGGTGATTTGGAAGCATAGGTGATTCAGTAGCAAAAGATTCAGAAGCACAGGTGATTCACAAGCACAGGTGATATGAAAGCGCAGGTGATTCAGAAGTGCAGGGGATTCACAAGCGCAGGTGATTTGGAAGCACATGTGATTCAGTGGCAAAAGATTCAGAAGTGCAGGTGATTCGAAAGCGCAGGTGATTCAAAAGCACAGGTGATTCAGTAGCGCAGGTGATTCAGAAGTGCAGGTGATTCACAAGCGCAGGTGATTCAGTAGCAAAAGATTCAGAAGCACAGGTGATTCGAAAGCGCAGGTGATATGAAAGCGCAGGTGATTTGAAAGCGCTGGTGATTCGGAAGCGGGTGATTCGGTAGCGCAGGTGATTCAGAAGCGCAGGTGATTCAGTAGCGCAGGTGATATGAAAGCGCAGGTGATTCACAAGCACAGGTGATTCAGTAGAACCGGTGATTCAGTAGCGCAGGTGATTCAGTAGCGCAGGTGATATGAAAGCGCAGGTGATTCAGTAGAACCGGTGATTCAGTAGAGCCGGTGATTCACAAGCACAGGTGATTCAGTAGAACCGGTGATTCAGTAGAGCCGGTGATTCACAAGCGCAGGTGATATGAAAGCGCAGGTGATTCGGAAGCGCAGGTGATTCGGAAGCGCAGGTGATTCGGTAGCGCAGGTGATTCAGTAGCGCAGGTGATATGAAAGCGCAGGTGATTCACAAGCACAGGTGATTCAGTAGAACCGGTGATTCAGTAGCGCAGGTGATTCACAAGCGCAGGTGATATGAAAGCGCAGGTTATTCAGAAGCACAGGTGATTCAGTAGAGCCGGTTTTTCAGGAGTGTCACTTTATCAAGTTCTCAGATGTTGAACGTCAGACTCAAACTATCAGAATTTACCTTCTCAGACTAGCTGCCAAAAACACGACAGGACGTGACACGCGTGTTTATCCAGTGCCGTTTACTTCAATCACTGCAACACGTTCACATTCACTAACTCTCATAAAAGCCTTCTAAATGACACTAAATCCTAACAGTTATGATTTTTCCTGTGTTGTAAATCATTGACGATGTTTCTGGCACGAGTCGTTCATAGAAACACTTAATTTATATGGAAATAAATGCATATTTTTACTCTTATGTTTGTTGCTGCCAATAGTATGACTTTCATGTTTATAAGATTCTTTATTCTAGTTGTTTTTTTTATCTAAAGCGTTTCATGTTTGTCCTCAAATCCTCACACTCAGAATGTGATTCCAGACGGATTCAGCTGTTCTGATGATGATGAAGTTTGTTTTGATCTGCTGATCCTCTATGAAGCTGTGATGTATGGTCAAGGTCATAACCTCTCCATCAATACCTGTTATTAATTACCACAAGACCCCATTAATATCTCATATATTTGATTCCTTTTGTTCTATTTATTGATATTTGAATCAGGTGTCTGAGATCTGAGGTTTTGTCATGTTCGTGTGTGTGTGTGTGTGTGCGCGTGTGTGTGTGAGTGTGCGTGCGTGTGTGTGTGTGTGTGTGTGTGTGTAACGGCACACTGTAGGCTCGACGTTTAAAAGTGCAATTATACTGTCTGCAAACGAGCTTCAGTGATGATTTACTATGTGTGACTGTCTGACTGAATCTGCTTCACCAATAAGATGTCAAATAAATATAATTTAGGAATGTTTTCTATTCCTGCTGGTCTGTTTGTCGTTATTTTAAGCGTACCACAAAACATGCACATTTTAATCACGCCGCTGAAGCCTTTCAAACACCGTCAGATGCACACGATACAATCATTTTTCTCATACGTCTAAAAAAAGCAGTGTACACTATCGTAAAATGTGAAGATTTTAGATTTTAAGCTAAAATACACAAGGTTTAAATGTGCTGCAATGAAGATGAAAAAGTTAATAGTCTTGGGAGAAAGAGGCCTAATTTTATTTATGTAAAATAACATTTCTATCTTTTGATTTTGGAGTGAAATGTAATTTTTTTTATTTTTGAGTTGACATTTTTCAAATACAGCAAAATACATGCTTTTGGGAAGAAATATTCTTGATGCAAAAATGGTTTATTTTATTCTTTTTCCTTTTGAATTTCGGGGTGAAATTCTCTCGATGCAAATATAATTCTTTTGATGTATTTATTTATTTTTCATTTGGATTTCGGGGTTAAATGTGGCTGTTCATGACAGTCTGGTCTGTTGTGTTTGTATGTGAGATGTTAGCACAGTCCCTCATCAGGTCAGGTGTCTTCATCGGCCCCGGGGCCCGCAGCTAATCAGCTTTGAGTGGGACTTGAGCATCTCCTCTTCCTCCTCTGCTCGTGAAATGTTTGCAGGCGTGTTGTTTTGCTTTTTAATAAAGCGTGTTGAAACAAACTGTCCAGTGCAACACGACCACGCTTAGTTTTTGTGCCATGCAAATAAATTGGACAGTTTATAGTTGTTGCATTTATGCAATTCAATGTTATTTTACTATTATTGAGATACTATAATAGGTTTATTAGTATTTTGAATTAAGTTTTTATTTAGTAGTTTAATTTTACTTAAGGTTTTAGTCATTTTCATGTTTGTGTTTACATGGAATTGTATTTTTGGACTTTCATATTTTAAAATAAAATGAGAGTTACATTATGAATTACATTATTTCAGTGAACTTGTTTCATTTCAAGTAAGCTTTATATTAGATAACTGTGATAACCCTGATGCGGTTTCTCTAGCTTTAAGGATGGCAGCTTAATATGTTTCAGTTCAACTTTGATATGCTCGTAGCATATTATTAGGTTTGATAGAGAAAGAATCGTGCATTGATTCTGCTACATAAAGTCTAAGAGGTGAAGGACATAAATGAATAAAACAAGGCGACTTCTGGAAGGCTCAATAATTGAGATGAGCACCACGACAGGCCTTATGAAATCCCTGCAAACCTCATAATATTAAAGCAATACTAGCTTCAGCAGTGGATGAGACTGAGGAGAAATGTAACCCATTTAATCCCACCGCTCACAATACTGACCGTAAAGAAGGTTTTCACTTATAAAGCTCTAGAAGTGTTACTGAATAGTGCTTCAGTGCATTTAGTGAATGCATCAAAGCTCCAAAACGAAAGGCTTGTATATGTTAACATAAAGATATGACAAAGATTTTCGGTACGTGTTATGAATTCACAATTCTGAAGTTTTGTTGAGTGTGGTCCCAGAGTGAGTGGACATGCTGATGGTCAGATAGTGAGCTGTGGGGTAACACAGTGCATATAACACCAGCTGCATACTGCTGCAATGACAAAGTTACAGTGAATATTGCACTAAATTCAAAGTTTAAATGTTACAAA